GTTTGTGTGTATGTATTGTCATGTTCGCTATACACAACTCGACAGATAAGCATGACTATGCCAGACTGTTTCTTACGTCTTGTGGGAAGAGAGAGAGAAATATATATTTTTTCTTCCTTTTTTTCGCTTCTGCGCTCTGATTCACAGTGTGACAATATATATATGACATATATATATGACAATATATATGACAATATATGTTCGCATTTGCGCTCTGATACTCTTGTGACAATATATATACCGGGCAGCTCTGTTTGACGAGAGAGAGAGAGAGAGAGAGAGAGAGAGAGAGAGAGAGAGAGAGAGAGAGAGAGAGAGAGAACACAACGGGAAACGAAGGGAGAAAACAAAGGGGAAAAAGAACGTGTGGGCACCGCACCCAATGCCTTCCAACTACCCATCCCCCTCTTTTACCCCTTGTCACCTTCCATCGAATATGGCTCTACATCATCGACCCCTCGCATACCACCGTGGAATGGACTGCTATGCTCCTCTCCACGTAACCGGTAATCTCGCTCCACAAGGTTTCATTGCGTTCACCCCCCGCCAACATCTCCCCAACTCTCTCTCTCTCTCTCTCTCGAGGGAGGGAGAGAGAGGTATGATTGCGTTTTCCCCCCACCGCCACCATCTCCCCAACTGGAGAGGAAGATGGCAGTCCCTTCCGCGGCGGTAGGCGAAGGGTTAGTGATGTGGGATGGATGGCGACAAGGGAAGGGGTAAAAGAGGGGGATGTGTAGTTGGAAGGCATTGGGTGCGGTGTCCACAAGTGTTTTTTCCCCCCTTTGTTTTCTCCCTTCGTTTCGCGTTGCGTTGTCTGTCGCTGTCCATCTCTTTATCTGTACATACTTCCATTGTCCGTCTCGCTCTCGATCTCCATTCTTTCTTTCCCTCGTCTTTCTGTCCGTCGTGTTGTTTGCTTTGCTTATCCATTTGTTTTCTTTCTCATTCTCTCTGTTTCACCTTGGCCCCTTCATCTCCCTCTATTCTCTCATTACGGCTTCTTATCTTTGCTGTACTTGAGCCGTGCGCCCCCTTCCTTTCCGTCTCCTTCTCTCCTTTCCAACCTCGTTTCTTGTTCCTTTTTTGTGCACGACGCAGGCTACCTTGAGTTTCTTGTTCCTTTTTTGTGCACGACGCAGATGTTGACAAGTGGGCATGTCACCGATCAGTACGCTGAGCAGCGGGCATATTAATCACTTAGTCACCCTTAGTGGTGGAGGATATGGATGGACTGATGGGGTCGTACCCACGCGTCAATCAAATATGACCGTGTCATCCTGTGGCTGAAGAGATGCTGCCCTGCCGTCATTGGACGGCCTCCCCGCCATTTGGGCAGTCTTACCGACCTGATCTCTTACGGTTAGTTGAGGGGGTTAATACGATGAGGGCGTAGGGGTCAACAAGTTCTCAATGTGATGAGAGGGTGGTTCATCATCAACAAGTTCCCTTTTGCTATTTATTGTAGGCCATTAAGAACTGAAGATCGAAGGAAAGGCGTGTGCAGAGAGAACACAACGATGTGGTGAATGCGGGGAAACATGTGGCGCATAGGCGGTTGTGAGGCCCACCCAACGGGTCAACCGACCCAAGGGTGAACAGAGGCAGGCAGACAGGCAGGGAGATGGACCGGCAGGCAGGCAGCCAAGCAGGCAGGCAGAAGAACAGAACCAGGCAGGCAGAAGAACAGACAACCAGGCAGGCAGACAGATGTATTGAGAAACAGCAGGCAGGCAGGCAGGCAGCCAAGCAGGCAGGCAGGCAGGCAGGCAGGCAGGCAGGCAGGCAGGCAGGCAGGCAGGCAGGCAGGCAGGCAGGCAGGCAACCAGGCAGGAAGGCAGGCAGCCAAGCAGCCATCCAGGCAGGCAGCCAGGCAGCCAGGCAGCCAGGCAGCCACGCAGGCAGGCAGGCAGGCAGGCAGGCAGGCAGGCAGGCAGGCAGGCAGGCAGGCAGGCAGGCAGGCAGGCAGGCAGGCAGGAAGGCAGGCAGCCAAGCAGCCAAGCAGGCAGGCAGGCAGGCAGGCAGGCAGGCAGCCAAGCAGGCAGCCAGGCAGGCAGTAAGCCAGCCAGGCAGCCAGGCAGGCATCCAGGCAGCCAGGCAGGCATCCAGGCAGGCATCCAGGCATCCAGGCAGGCATCCAGGGAGGCAGCCAACCAGGCAGGCAGGCAGGCAGGAAGCCAGGCACAGAGAGAGAGAGAGAGAGAGAGAGAGAGAGAGAGAGAGAGAGAGAGAGAGAGAGAGAGAGAGAGAGAGAGAGAGAGAGAGATGTATGGATGGATGGATGGATGGATCGATAGATCGATATATATGGATGTATATACATATATATCGTCACATACAGGGTTACCTGACCGAACGTTCGGGGGGCCCCGGGCTGGCCCCCGAACGTTCGGGCATTCGGGGTCCCGTTCGGGGCCGAACACCTCCAGGTTCGGCCCCCGCCAAAAATTATTTCGGGGCCTAAAAATAAGTTTCTTTTTCTGAATTTTTTTTTGTGAGTTCCCTATGATGTATCCTACACGCCTATAAATTTTGAAGCCATTCTGCTAAGCCAAAAAAAACATTAAGAATCTTCAAAGATGGGGGTGTCAAAACGTACTCGCCCAATCACTATTTTGTTTCTTTTCACTTTTTACTTTTTGTTTTCACTTCATTTCGGGGCCTAAACAATTTTTTAATTTTTTGAAAAACATTTAAGGAGTTATTGATTATGTAAACTACATATCTGTAAATTTTCTGGGCATTTGTCAATGCCAAACAATAATTAAGAATCGGCAAAGATGGCGGTGTCGAAAAGGTGCTGGCACACTCACTCATTTTAATTCTCTTTTTATTTTTTCTTATTTTTATCATAGTGTTTATTTTCTATATTTGATTTTTAATTCAAATTTGGTAAAGAATTTGGATGCA